TCGGTGAAATGGCGAGAGTTGATTTGTGCGAGGGCCTCTTTAGGTGGGGATTGTCTAAAAATCGCTCTTCTCCCCGTTTGTCGCACGACAGAGTCGAACCGGCTTATCGCACGCAGCCTCGGCGACGCCGCCTACTCGACAGTGACTTCGGACAACCTGGAGCGCCTGTCGGTTTATGTGGAGGATGAGCCGCGTACCACGACTTCCGGCCACGTTGCCATGGGCGGCAGCGGCAACAATGTCGGCGGCGGAGGCAACGGCGCGGGATCCGGCGATGCCGACCTCGCCATGGCGACAACTCCGCGGCTCTGTGGCTACGTGACTCGACTGAACGACGCCATCTTCCAGCCGCGTTTGCACATCTCCTGTCGACAACCCTTGGCCGGTCGCTACGTCTACGTCGAGGCGAGTGGCAGTTGGCCGAAAGAGTTCGCCGCCGTCCTCTGCGAGGTCATGGTCTATTAGACCCCACCCCCCCTTTCCTCCGCACCCTCCGTATCCCCACGGCGACAACTGTCTCTCAGCATCCTCTTCCTTAATCCATCTCTCATCCTCCCTATGCATCAGAATTTCTTTTATTCACCCCCCTCATTGCTGTTATGCTAGTTGCACAATGTCATCTTCATGTGTCTGGTGGTGCCCTCTCGAGATTACAACAAACCTCCCTTCTACCTCCCATTCTTCACATCTGTCTCTCTGCCCGTCAATCCATCTACTCGTCTAGCTATCTACCCCTACAAATAGCTTCTTCTTTCTGCATGTTTGTCCGGTCAACTTGATCTTTATACCTGCCCGTCCATACACACACACACACACACAATTATACACACAATCATACACATTTATAAATATAATATATGTTATTCTTATTAACTCGCCCATGCTGCTTCACATGCACACAGGCAGAGAAGCAGACAGACATTGCGAGAGGGAGCAATGGGGTTCTTTTGCCTCTCACACGTCTGCATTAAGCATACACATACACACACACACACACATGAATGAATAAGTTGCAGACACCGGCTCAATTATGCAGAGAATCAGGTACCTTTGTCGCAGTAACTGTAGTGTTTGACCTCCGAGCCTCTGCTTATCGTGGCGCTTTGACAGCTTTACACAACTTCAGTCATCTTCATGCATGCTAGCGCATGTACAGGCCGCCCTGGGCTGGCCATCTTGCCGCTCCAGACGGGTCTGTAGGCCGGGCCGGGACAGTCGCATGCCCATTCTGGCCAAATGTCACGTACAGTCCTCTCTGGGGCTGACGAATTGTGACCTCTCTCACACTTGCAACTCTTTCTCCTCGACGTCGTCATCACGACAATTCACGTCTCAACGATAACAACACCAACACCGACATCGACACCAACACATACACACAAGCACACAGTGCAATGGGGCATTCACAGTCCCACAGGATTGGCTACTTCGGTGGTTTTTGCGACGTGGTCTTTCGGCCAGCCCGTGGCAGAGGCTCGCGCTGAAGACCACCTTTCTATGACCCAACTGGTTCAACATAAACAGGCAGCCTACAGCACTGCCTTCTGCTTCATCTCACTCAAAGCCTCTCCCCATACAGCTCCATCATCGACGTGAACATATTTTCTAGTCTGTACACTTTATTTATTTACCTTTTGTGCACCCACTATACACTACATGCCTTCAAGTTATCCCCAATCTAGAATCATCAACACTCGGCCAGACTTGCACATTTGTTGGCTACTCACACGGTCAGGTCTGTGTAGGAAGCTGACGCTGTAATCGTGCAAGTCTGACGGCGTGTCAGCTCATGTTGCATGCTGCATGTGGCTTTTGACGAGAGGAGCATGGTGACGGCTAATTACATGATACCATTGAAATAAATGCCTATAGTCTTTTTCATACAGTTTTTGAACCCACACATTTTTGGAAATCTAGAGTCGTAATTCGATTCGCTATTTCCGTCACGCATGACCGCCTAAATGTGATGGTATGGCCTAATTTAAGCGAATTACGAATGCACATGAAATGACACTACTAATATGCTGGCAAATGGATATACTACTTACAATTGAATAGTAAAAAGAGCAAGAAAGAGAAGGGAAAATGAATATAATTACGGGTAGCCTGACTTATGATAACCTTCACTTCTCATGTCTCTTTTTAGCGTGAGTGGGTATCCCAACTGGGGGTGATTCCTGAA